TGTTATTAGGTTACATTTTCCCACTTAAAACTTTTTAAAGACAATGTTATTGATAATAAAGGTGATGATTGAGATTGCAGCTGTTGCAGTTTGCAGCGATTGCACTCCTTCAGATCACGATATCGATATAAGAACAATCTTTCAGCCCTACTCAGTCGCTTTTTTGACTGGAAATGAAATAAGTGAAGGGTGACCTCTGACTTCTTACTGTATCTGATATTTATCATTTGCCATTCAAGAAAAACATGACTGCTACTTAAGATTCACAGTGTGTTGTAGTCATTGTAATTGCTTTATGTAGTAGTTTATGTAGTCTCTGTCTTTGTTGTGATGAATAGAGCTCATACAAGAAGAATTAGTGGCTACACACTGCATGAAGAAGATACACACACACACACACACACACACACACACAAACAGTAAAACAATCACTTTACTTATTACTATGCATGAAGGTAAGAAGTGACCCAGTGCAGGATGAATCTGAATTCTCTGGGGCAGACTGATATGAGTGTATGTCATGAAGACAGGCTGCTGATGAATACATACAAGCAGTGTTATGAATACATGTCTGATGGAAGCAGAGAAATGGAGGCTTTTTTTTTAGAGATGAATGTGACAGAGAGCAGCCGGGGACTCTCCTCTTTTATTAAATCAGTGAAAGCAGGGATGAGACCTTGGACTCTGCCCCCTGTGTATGTGTGTACATGTATGTGTGTGTGTGTGTCTGTGCTCAATCTGTGAATGGCGTTGTTTAGAGCTCCTCATTCCTTTTATGGATTTTTAAAGGGATGCAGCTGGAAAGGAGCATGTTTGCTGTGCATTGCTGTGTGCATGTGTCTTAGTGAGGGAGCGCAAGTGCTGATGACTAGGATGAGGATAGAAAAAGGTATAGTTATTGCCAGTTAAAAGTCTGGGCACCTTCCTTCTTTTGAAATTAGATTTTTCTCTCATTTTCAAATGTGGAGAAATTCCCACAAAGGTCCTATAAGCATCTTTTTATCTGTACTTTTGGTACTTTCAGCTTCAGCTTAATCAAAGTACACTACATGGCCAAAAGTTTGTAGACACCTGCTCATCCATTGTTTCATCTGAAATCAAAGGTGCCAATAGGGAGTTTGTTCTCACTTTGCTGCAGTAACAGCCTCTACTCTCCTGGGAAGCCTTTACACTAGACGATGAAACATTGCTGTGAGGATACGATTGCATTCATTAGTCCCATACTAGCATATTTACATGTATTACATTATACGTTAAAAGCATTTTGAGAAGATACACCCTTAAAAAGTGGTCCTTCAAGGGTTCTTTAGTCAAGGAAATGGTTATATATAAAATCATATTGTATATGGTTCTCTAAAGAACCTTAAAAACAGTTCTATAGCACCAAAATGTTTATGCTATTGTTAAGTCTTTGTTTTTGGTACTATATAGAACCCATTTTGCTAAGAGTGTATTTGTCCTTTTCATAGACAGTGTAAAAATAAGACTGTAGAAGGTTGCCGGCTTAGACATATGGTTCTAGGAACCATTAAAGAACATTTTAGTTACGTTATTTGTTTTACAGACACAGTAACCCATCTTGGCGGGATTTGTCTGCAGTTAAAAAATAGCGTGTGTGCTTGCGTCTTGAGATAGACATGTCTAGAAGTGTCACAGTGATGACGATGGCAGACTGATATGCTACTGTTACTGCTTTGTGATGATCAAGTGGATGTGCTTGTGTGTGTGTGTGTGTGTGTGTGTGTGTGTGTGTGTGTGTGTGTGTGTGTGCAGGTGCACGTGACTGTGAAGGAGAGAGAGATTTTGCTGTATAGAGGTTCTCTCAGTCACGTCAGACAGTACGCGCTGTGATGCTGATGCAGCTCCTCTTCAAATTCTTAGTCATCAAAGAGAGTGTGTTATTGTGCACACATCCTCAGACACACACTGTGGAGTGTGTTCACCCTCTCCAGCTTTGAGTGAGGATGAAATGATGCAGTGTCACACTACCTGTTGTGTATCTGAAGCATGGCAGGGGATCCTAGGGATTATTTCTGTTACATGCTGGTATCAGCACACAAAGCAGCAGATTCAGTGGTGTTACTGTAGTGCAGGAACTACACAAACTGCAAAACACCACAAAAAAGGTACACAGGAAACAAAACCTCAGCCGTTTTCCGGAATCTTTTATTCACAAAAAGTAAAAGGTGTAAAAAAAAATTTCTTGGTGCATCTGTCAACATAAATTACAATAACATAACATATACTCTACCTGTCAAAACCTTGGGAACATCTAGCTTTTTAATAAGTCTTTAGTATTTCATTTTCTGACATATTATGTTAAATATGTGTGAAAACTAGTACAAAATGCATTGTCCTTAACTGAACACACAGATGAGGTATTACAGGTTGTGTTAAAAGTAGCATAAAATGTGCTGTCTTTAACTGAACGCCTTGTTTTTAATGCATCTCTTTTGAGAGTGTACAAATTAACATGTTTCATTTGTAGACGTGCAATAAGATAGCATGTTTAATTGAAAGCTGATTTCACTTTTCTTTTCAGAAACTGCTAAACTGAATGAAGAGCTGAAAAACTAGTTTAGAAATAATGCCAAACCCTACATATTCTATACACTTCAAAATATCTTGGCAAGTAAAAACGTCTTAAATCCAGTCCATATATCTATAATTTCTCGTTCTAAAAGTATTATAAGATATTTTGAGAAATTTCTTATTTAAGTAATTTTATTCAGTGAAACGATTGTGCTTCAATGCAAGATACTTTTGTTAGTTTCTAGCATTATTTATTGAAATGAGGACAATTATCTGCCAGTGTAATTAGCCAGTTTCACTAGATAAAATTGCTCCTTGGTAAACCTCTCGAGGCTGAATAATTTCATAATAAGAAGTAGCACATAAAATGTGCTTTTGACATTAGTTTAGAACGCCAAAATGTCAGATCACCTTTTGACAAAATCTGTTCATCATACCAAAGAAGACACAAAAATTACACAAAAAATGCGCAAAAATAATAGCAGATATTTTTCCTTACTAAATTGAAAGTAACAGCAACAGTAATACACTAGATGCTTTATAGATATATAAATGGTATGAAAATTGTGCAATTAATGTTATGCACAGTCACATTAGAAATGTAGTTATATTACACATATAGTTACATTAGGAATGCACAGTTACATTATCAGTATAGGGTTGACAAATGTAGTTACATTACAAATTCAGATTTACATAATAATGAACAGTTACCATATCAGTGTAGTGTTACATAGAAATGTACAATTACATTAGAAATATAGTTATATTAGAAATATATTTTTATCATTATTACTGTGTCCTCCTGGATGAAATAATTCCAAAATTTCAGGTTAGCTCTTAAGTATAGCTACATCCCAGTCTAGGAAACAACCATTATGTATGTCTTCACATGTACACAAATCCTCATTCTGGCACACACTCCACAGGCATACAGCATCAGACAGCAAGATCTCAGCAGAAGCACAAAACCAAAGAACCATGTATGAAACTATTGATAATAAAAGCTAAAATTAGGAGCAGGTCGAACTTTATTATCATTTCAACCATTCCAACGAAATGAAAGCTTTTCACTATAACGTCTAAGAATTGCTGCAGATTCTTGATCAGTGAGATCAGGTCATATTGCTACTCTGTATGCTGCGTGTGTGCTGTGGGGTTTTCGTCCGATTGAGAGAAGAAAAAAGAGAAAACATCACACAGACAGTACTGACTTAATACTGAGTGGTTTAAAATGTCTGTGGTGTCATGAATGTGGCCGTTTCGCTCACGAAGGAGAGCCTAATGAGTCAGATTACAATTATACCACACACACCTTCATGTGTTGCATTATCAGAAAGATGCTAGAAAACTAGAAAACATACAGTTCCCTTTTGAACCATGCACACGCAACAGACTTCATACCAGTACCAAAAGATTCTAAGGAACTGTTACAGCGGAAGACAATAGCTGGCCTCAGCACAGCATCTTCCCATATTGCTCAGCATTTGGTCATTTGTTTGGGAGGAATAACACTTAGATTCCTGAAATGACAAAGCGTTAAAGGAATATTCCAGCATTTCTAAACCGAGTCTCTATCTGCCACGTGTGTGTTCTGCCGTTTTACATACTCACATAGCCATAACATTAAAACCTTGTTTCCTTGTTTCTACACTCATTGTCCATTTTATCAGCTCCACTTACCATATAGGTGCACTTTATAGCTCTACAATTACAGTCCATCTGTTTCTCTGTGTACTTTGTTTGTTTTGTCTTTTGTTTATTAATGGTCAGGACCACCACAGGACCACCACAGAGCAGGTATCATTTGGGTGGTGCATCATTCTCAGCACTGCAGTGACACTGACGTGGTGGTGGCATGTTAGTATGTGCTGGTACGAGTAGATCAGATACAGCAGTGCTGCTGGAGTTTTAAAACACCTCAGTGTCACTGCTGGACTGAGAATAGTCCGCCAACCAAAAATACCCAGCCAGCAGTGTCCTGTGAGCACTGATGAAGGACTGGAGTCCTTCTAGAGAATGACTAACACAAACTGTGTAGCAACAGACAAGCTATCATCTCTGACTTCACATCTACAAGGTGGACCAACAAGGTAGGAGTGTCTAATAGAGCAGACAGTGAGTGGACACGGTGTTTAAAAACTCCAGCAGCACTGCTCTGTCTGACTGCTGTGTGTGTGTGTGTGTGTGTGTGTCTGTGAGAGAGAGAGAGAGAGAGAGAGAGAGAGAGAGTGAGAGACAGGCAGAAAGAGAGAAAGTTCAGTAGCTTTAATAAACTAATGAATGTTTTTAGTGGTATCTGGTCCCCTGAGGGACTGGGGTTGCATCTACACACAAATAAGCAAAGGATAAAACCACGTCCCAGACTCATCTTCAGATATTTAAAGGAAGGTCCTGACAAAGTGTTCAGATTTATGTATTTATATACACACACAGCTATCATCTGCTTTTGTGTGTGTGTGTTTCAGATGCGAGTAACAGTAGACAACAGCACCTTCCACTCCAACATCCCCTTCGCTGCTGACATTGCATTAGGAGTGCTTTACTCCATATTTGGTAAGTCCTACAACTTTATTTTTCACACTTTTCAATTTCCTTTTTACTGCATAAGGTTTTCAATTCCATTAAAGCCAAAAAGGTTAATGTAATGTTGTATGTTACAAACAGAGGTAGTTACTAGGAGTGTAACAGTACACAAATTTCACAATGCAATACATTCCCATATTTGCGTGATGATACAACACATTTTCCATATAGAATTAGAGAAGAAACACTAACATAACTTTCAGGTTTTTTTTATTTATTTTTGGGATTTTTTTCCCAAAAAGATAATAGTGGTTGTTAAAGGGGAAAATGGCACAAGTCATGTTCTAAGAAGATGTAAAATAAATAAAAATTGTAAACAAAAGTGCAAGACACACATGATGCACATGTGTCTTTGGCAAACACGTGATACTATGGCTCAGCATTACAAGTTACTTTACGGTCTGATCTAGTGTTTCTATATAAAGTGTGGCTCTTTCTTTGTGGCTGAATTGAATGTGAGAGGATTTTCTAATGTGGCTCAGTCACTCTCAGTAAATTCCAGCTGTTTGAATCCTGTTTGGAGAAGTAGCTGCTGCGACTCATCTTTTCTCCACTCTGGTTACTGACACACGCCAGTGAGGGTATTATACTTGACTGGGAAACAGGACGGTGAATGTGAGGATTCTGCTTCTTTCAGCCAAAGCTTGCTGTCTCCGCTCACCATTTCAGACAGCTTGGATAATGCCATCCGAGGTAGACAAAGCTGAAGTTAGCCTTATATTCGCCAGCCTCTTACTCGAATTCTCCTCTGGCACCAGAGTGTAACTGCTACAATATTTAAAGTGGAACGGAAAAATATATGAGTCATAGCACATATCATTCCTCGACCCCTGTATAGAAAAAAAAAGGAATATTAACATGTGTCCCAAGACTGCTTCAGAGAACTGTATGTAAATATTCTCTGTTTTGATTGGCTGCCCTGTATTGTGCCTCATCAAAGCAGTATGGGCTGAAATGTACAGAACAACCTATTACATTTGGACTGAAATCTTTATGGACATCAGAGGCAAAAACCTTCGCTCATTTCTTTCAGATGTCTGGATTCTTTGGTTGGCTGCAATGATAATTTTTCCTTAGCCAAGAACAGCATATCTAATTGTTTTGATCAGATCGACCTCTGCTACAGACTGTCTGCAGGAACAACACTCTTTATCACTTCAATATGAATGGGAGGGTTAAAGTGCTATAGGCTAAACAATATAACACTATATGAAAGTACTCATTGTTATGACATCATAATCATGACGAATTGAAAACACTGCATTTCCATAAAGGGACTGCATGGACTGAGTACATTTTTAACAATTTATAAATATTTAATAATAAAAAAAGCAGGAAAAAATTTTCATGAAATGAACCCCTTGAAACTGTCGCAGTGTTTCTTGTTCTTTGTTTTGTGTCATTGCTCATGACAAACTAGGGCAAGGTCTGCGTTGTCTCAATTGAAACCATTAAAGTGTGGCATCCAGAGGTTATTGTGTGTGCAGGGCCTGATAGAAGTAATAGATCAATCATATCTGCTGAGTCATTAGTGTACAGACAGGTTTAACAGAGCCTGAAGGAGGATGACACTGCATGAGAGATAAGGTAGTAGCACTGCATTTAAAACCATTCTTCATAAAGGTTGTGTGTTTGGGAATGTATAGGGCAGTGTATCTGTGCTTGTTGGTCATCTTGTTGTGTGTGTGTCTGCCTGAACTTTCATATTCTCGTATTGTGATATTCACTCCAGCTCCCTTCTCTCTCGCTGTTTGTTGAATGTGCAAAATAACATTTTTTGTTTCCACTCAGTTCGACTGTTTGTGCATATGTTCCTCCTGCGCTCTGAGCCTCGAGATTTCCTGCGTGTGAATCATTGTTGCAGTCGTGTAATTCCCTCCCTGTGAGTCACCACGGGTCTCCTCAGCCTTCGTGGCTTATTCATTAGAAGCAAACGGAGTGTGGAGCCCACTACAGAGTCTAAAGCAACCTGCAGTCCCAGCAATCTTCCCACAAAAGCTGCTCTATTCTTCCACTCATTTATTTATTTACTTAGTTCAGGCTTAAATAACATCTGTGTTGATAAGTGAGTTGCTAATTAAAATAAATGACATCAAATAAATAATTTCAAATTGCACTTGATTGACATTTATGGAGCTCAGTGTATTGCCATTTGACTGACACTTGTACCAAAATTATTTGGACTGATAGCATCATATTAACATGCTCAGTGTTAAAGCAACTCTCCTTCCTGCATTTATTCATTTACCTATTTGAGGTTTAGTTAAACACATTAATGTGTGTTAAAGAGAGACTTGCTGATTAAAATACACAATATAACAAAATAAATAACCTCTTGTTTTACTTAACTGGCATTTTTGGAGGTCAGGGTGTTAGTGCTTGACTGGCTGTAATCCACTGAGCTCCAGAAATATGAGGACTGACATGTTCAATGACAGTCATGTTTAATACACAATTACATATCCTTAGCAATAGTCATTTCCCTTTTTGCCAAACCACAGTTGGTTTCTGTTATTTGCAGAGAACATTAATGTAAACCTCAGCATGTGAAGTTCGTATTGTATGGAATTTAAACTGGAGAGCTGAATTGTCTGTTCATTAATATCCCACTGTTCTGGCAGTGGAACAGACTTAACTAGTTATGAGTATCTCTTTTTTTGGCTGTGCTATTGACTTGACTAGTCATGTATATATCATTTTTCTGACAGTGCTATTGACTTGACTCGTCATGAATATCTCCTTGTTTAGGCAGTGCTATTGACTTAACCAGTCATGAATATCTTCTTGTTTGGGCAGTGCTATTGACTTGACTCGTCATGAATATCTCTTTGTTAAGGCAGTGCTATTGACTTGACTCATCATGAATATCTCCTTGTTTAGGCAGAGCTATTGATTTAACCAGTCATGAATATCTCCTTGTTTGGGCAGTGCTATTGACTTGACTCTTCATGAATATCTCTTTGTTAAGGCAGTGCTATTGACTCATCATGAATATCTCCTTGTTTAGGCAGAGCTATTGACTTAACCAGTCATGAATATCTTCTTGTTTGGGCAGTGCTATTGACTTGACTCTTCATGAATATCTCTTTGTTAAGGCAGTGCTATTGACTTGACTCATCATGAATATCTCCTTGTTTAGGCAGTGCTATTGACTAGTCATGAATATCTCGTTTCGGCAGTGCTATTGACTTGACTAGTCATGAATATCCTTTTGTTTGGGCAGTGCTATTGTCTTGACTAGTTATGAATTTCCCATTTTTTGGCAGTGCTATTGACAACTAGTTATGGATATCACTTTTGGGGCAGTGCTAGTGTCTAGTCAAGAATTTCTCACTTTTTGGCTAGTTATGAAAATCTCATTTTGAGCAGTTGACTTGATTATGCATGAATATCTCATTTTTGGCAGTGGTTGTGACTTGACTACTTATGAATGTCTTATTTTTTGGCAGTGCTATTGGCTTTACTAGTCATAAATATCTCACTTTTTGGCAGCTGTGAACTCCATATATGCCAGAACAGTAAGTTTTGAATGACTATGCTCTGCATGAAGGGCCACTGTCCAATGCATTTCAATGTGTGTTTGTTTTAGTTTATTCAGATGAGATTTTGTTGTAGACATCAGAATTCATCATGCTCCAGTTTAGGTAGCAACCAACTATTCCAAGTAATAACACTCCTTCCAGCATGTTCTCAGCTGTAGTGGTATGCATTGGATCACAGGCCATCACTGTTTTCTTCATCGTTTTTGATTTCCATTGTTTAGGTCGATCATGTGATATTTGCTGATGGATGTTCCACGACAGTTTCCTCTTCTAGCAGATTGCGACCTTGCCATTGTGTTCTTCACACTTCACTTGTAGTTTACATTTTGTGAAATGTTCCCTGAGGCTCTGTGAGCTTCATATGATAGTCTCTCCTATGCCTCTGCCTATAGTATGAAGTGTTGAGCCACTGTGTTTCATTATGGTGGGTTTGAGGTTTTTAGGGGAAGAAAAAACAACTTGACTTTCACACCAGATGTCACAAGATTTCGCAAACTAATTTCATTTACCAGAGAGGCCTCAAAGATTTATTGACAGAGAACTAAAATTAGACTAACTAAATGAGATCATGCCCAGATGTTTGTGGTTGTCTTTTAAAGTCATGATGATTGGGGTGTTCAGAGGGTTGAATTTCAGCACAAGCCCACTCGGTTCTTTTTAACTGCATAATCACTCGGATATCCACTCGTGGAAAATCTTGAAAGATTCTTTCTTTTACATTGGCTCATGCATAAATTGAAGAATGTCAACAGTAGCAAATAATTTCTGATGCAAAATAAACATTATAGCTCATGATGAACAGAAAGACCAAATAAAAATGTGATATGTGGTCATTTGTGTCTTATACTGTATCTCTCTCTCATTCTTAGATCATTCTCTGGGGAACCCTGCAATCATATGCAAGCTAAGCTATTTGTTACAGTTGAAAACTACACATGAGCTCCAGTAAAGATTATGTGATGCAGTGCGTGTTTGTGTATCTGTGTATGTGTGTGTTTCAGGTGTGTGTTCTCTATTTGGGAACACTATGCTGCTCTATGTGTCCCATAGGAGGAAGCATCTGCTGAAGCCAGCTGAGTTCTTCATAGTTAACTTGGCTGTCAGTGACCTGGGCATGACCCTCAGCCTTTACCCCCTCGCTGTGACCTCCAGCTTCCAGCACAGGTAAGAGAGAGAGAGAGAGACAGCGAGATATATATATAAAGAGGGATAGATTCCATCCTGTTGGTCCAAATATGATTACTGTATTACATCAATTTCACAAGAAAAGCTCAGTTTTTTCTGGTTTGAATTTTTTACACAATTTGAAACAGCTGTCCTTGAGACTGTAAACAGTGCATGACGAACAGAGCAATAGACATTCCGAAAAAAGACGAGGCAAGCCTAGTTTTACTGACTCACCATCAGCTGCATGGCATTTCTTTCGCAAGTGTCAATGATACAGGATATAGCATAGGATATATTTTGATGTGCTGACTGCTATTTTTAAAATGATCACTTTGTAAAGTTACATTTATTTGCCAATAAGACGTTGGCAAACTTCAGCTTCAGGTTCAGCTCTATATAACATTATTATTATTATTATTCTTAATAATAATAATAATAATATTGTTGTTGTTGTTGTTGTTGTTGTTGTTACTAAGGAAGGAAGGGGTCTGAAGCACAACCAACATTACAAAATGTTCTTGCGTACATTACATATTTCCACCAGAGGTCTCCAAATCTCCAAATCTTACATAGTGTAGCTTTAAAAAGCACAGTTATACAGGGCTCTTATTATGTTAGCAGTGGTGTTCGAGACATTAGTCTGAGCAGTCATCATCCAGTCAGAGTCAGTTTAAGGTTTACTAGAAATTTTCTGAAGCAAGACTGATAAAAAAAGCACTGGGAAATGAATCTGTGTCCTCCCTGTTTTTGCTTGATAATTAAATTAATAATTCAAACATGGTGTGTCATAAATGAGTCCATGAAGATAGATTTAGCTATCTCTCCATCTAGGTGTAAACTATAATAACAGACTGTTAGTAGCATAATAACATATCTATCAGACTCTAAGAGGATTTCTGCTCGCACACATTCTCAGTGAAACCACTCATTCTCTGGCTGCTAGCATACATGCTAGTAATATTATAGCTTTTGAGTTAGCTGACATTAGCTTGACAAACTCTTTACAATATAATTGTAGAATCCACATAAATGCCTGCAGTTACTCTGAATCATGTGTAGAGTCAAGCAAAACGTATCTTGTGTAGCACCACCTGCTGCTTCTGTCGGCACTTCAATGCGTTTCAACAATGGTTATCAGTCAGTCAGTCAGTGACTCAGAAAGAGACATCAGCTCTCATCAGCTGGTCCGCTGGGTTGTCCAGCAATAAGTAAGAGTTTAAGTTACTGTTTTTTATATACAATTACTGTTTGAAGATATTTTATGACAGCAACAATTAGCATTTTTGATGGCTGGTCCTATGTACACTATATGTCCAAAAGGATCCACACACTTGTCGCAACCAAGATCTCTTTTTTCCCAGGGTCTGGACAATTATAAGTAACTCTAATATTATATATACTATTGCCCTAATAACTAGCTGTAATCTAATGTTTTCAAAAAGAATTAAAAGAATCAAAGAATATCAACAAAAATGAAAAAGAATAAAAAGGGATGAAAAAGACTTCAGCCTCTGAGTTCTTGTGGAAGGAAGGAAAAGGCCTTCGCTTTATTGAGCATCAAATGGCAAGATGGGTCCCGGTCAACCACAATGCAAAGAACATCTCAAAACATCCCTTTTTTATTCCCCTCTGGGGCGATGAGGTAATCTCCCCAGCCCATTAACACAATTCCATACCATTTTAGTCCCCATCACATCCAAACCTTACACCTTTTTTGGTAACCTTTAAAACCAAATGTGTATGATGTCTTTTTTTTAAACCCACTCTGGTCTGACTCATACCAGATTGTTCTCTCCTTACAGGGCCCTCTTGCACAGCTGTCCATAGGGCATCTCACACAACCCTCCATATACGTACAAGAGTGTAGCTGAGCTATAACTTAAACTGTCATCTGGTACGGCTCCCTTCTGTGAGCCCAGAAACTCTTTCCCCGTTAGAGAGTCTACTGCGTACAGTCCATAGTCTGCTTCCCTATATTACCTTTTTAAGGAGGGTTCTCTAGTCAGCCAATATTTAGTCTATTGATTGCTAATCAGGGAATGACTTAGTCAGTCTTTTCCATCACAACCCTTGTGAATTCAACCACTTGAAGGTGCACACATTGCTGACACAGGCATACAGTTGCACCCACATATCTTGTGTTTTCCACAGAAAGTGTACTAAGAGAATGGAACACCTTGGAGCCTAAAGTCACCATGCCCAGTGCCAAGTGGTGGTGTCAGTATAAAGCCCCCGGGCTGTGGAGCAGTGGAACTGCATTCTCTGGAGTGATTGAGCACCATCCAATACCTTTAGGATGAGTTGGAGTGGTGTTTTTGATCACTCAACATCAGTGATCAACATCAGTGCCCGACCACACTAAAGCTTTATGGCTGAATGCAGTCAAATCCTCGTAGCAATGTTCCAACAACCAGTAAAAGCGTTCCAAGAAGAGTAGAGGCAGCAAAGGAAGACAAATTCCTTATCTGTACTCGCATTTTAAGAGGAAACCTTTAGATAAACAGGTGTATACAAACTTTTGGACATGTAGTGTAAAATGGAGATAGAGTAGAGAAGAGTAGAGAAGAGTAGGAATTATTATTAATGCTGTGGAGATGCATTGAAATAGCTTTGTATTAATTTGCAGCATTAAGAGACGGAGAAACATTAGCAGGACATTAACACATTAGAGCACCATCAGAGACCACAGCCTGTCTAAGAATGAAACCTGCATTGTTGAGTCAGCAAGCAGGTGGTAGAGCTGACATTCATATTTCATAATAGGGTATGATGCCAGAATTTTGGTAACAGTACCAGGTGTGGTACTGCATTGCTTGATACCAAACGATACTATGGCAGAAACTTTCAGCATTGCCTGAACACCAAATGGCTATTGGATTGAACACAGAACAATATTCCAATTGATGCACCTTAATTATCATTAAATGTTAATTTACTTAATACAAAACTTTTTTTACTATATGGAATATATTGTCAACCTGGTGGTGGATTATTTGAAGAAAGCAGAAAAAATATTAAAGGTTAGAGTGAAACGTTTTGTTTGGTACATACAGTGTTGAAAAAGCTTTGAACATTATGTGCCTCTGTTTATGTCATACATTGAAGTGTGTGGGTAATGGCGATGTATTTCAAACTAGGGAACAAAGGCATCACCCTCCTCCACCCCCAATCCCCCTAATCCTGTACCCTGAACCTTCATTATTATTATTGAGACCTTATGTAACTTTTTTTTCTGTTTATTACTGTCGTTGTCTAAAAATATGTCTCCTGGTATTTAAATAGTTCTTTATTTGCTGAGTCCGCTCATACAGATCATTAAACCCAATAATAATCTCGTAAAAGTAATCTCAACTGATCAGAAATCTGTGCACATACATTTATTTAAAAACTTTGTATCGTCAAACACCCACAAGTCCTGTGACGCAGTGTTTTTTATAGCATACCATTGCTTTACAAAATGTGCATTGCTACTCTATATTTGACTTAACAATGTATCAAACTTACAGCTACATCCCATGGATTTCCTGGGTTTACTTAGCATCCATTTTGGTAGCCTTTTGTATGTTAGTGCATTAATCAGCACTCAAGGTTTAATGTGAGGTGGCTGTATTGGTCAGTAACACTGGCCGGTGTAATCCAAATACATAAATGAGTCCAGTTTGGGCTGTGATAACACTGTATAGCACACATGAACAAACTTTATTTTGAGATTGTGTGCACTCGGTAAGATTTATATTTATGGCTATGAGACTGCAGTAAAGGCAAAAAACCTTGAGACATGACAGCAAAGAATATATACTTATGTTACTACTATTAATAAAACAAATGGCTTTGGCATTTTGAAGGAAAAATGTGTCCCACAGAAGTAGGAAAACATTAAAAAGTAAAAAGTATATCATTTTTTGAGTTTGTTTTATGCAATTGGGAAAACATTTAGGGTCAGCCAGAGGTCTGCCTGAGCACTTATAAGAGTGGTGGCAGCCGTGATATAGACTACAGTGCTGGTGCAGCAGTGAGGAGCCCTACATCCATAATCACAAGGACACAGGTTCACCTCTCTGCATGGAGCATTACAGGAATGAGATTAAACATCTGAGAGATTCTCTGGTTCGTTATATCTCTGCCCTTCACCTAGAACTACTCAGTCAAGCTGCTAATGCTCAACTTGTGGTGCAATGATGATATGATGTAAAATGTTCTGCTTCACTGTTAGTGCTAAGAAAACTCTTAAGTGCCAGCCAAAATCTTGATGGTTCTTTTCAGCACCTCTTTGGCACTCTTCCGTCCATGTAGCCCGTTTGTGCTGAACGTACACTCACACTTTTGATTTCTGCTTATGATGTTTCCAAGAAAATAATTCTGTGATGCTCAAGCTTCAAAAAGCAGAGACACAGAGAGGAGGAAGCACCCACACACATTCAGCAACCTGGGCTGCAGTTTAGCTTTCATCTGAGACATCAGCACTTTAACTACCCAGCAATCACACAAGAGCAGCACGTGAGATGAACCTCGCAGCTTTCCACTTTTAGCCGCTGTCTTTGAATCTTAATGGACAAACCTTGACTCTAATCTAAAAACATCCGTTCACATCAAAATGTCCCGAGTCATGAACTACAGCGAAGACCTGCTCATGTGTGCTCATTCCTACCTCTAGGTTAGAAAAGTAAGCTCGACTTCTCTGAATTCAATTGATCTGATGCCTTCTGCTTTCCTTCTCTTTGTGTCTGTATCGCCTTCTCTCTTTGCTTGTGTGTGTGTGAGTGTGTAGGTGGCTGTATGGGAGGACGGTGTGTATAGTGTATGCCTTCTGTGGCGTACTCTTTGGAATTTGCTCTCTTACCACTTTGACCATACTCAGTACTGTCTGCTGCCTCAAAGTGTGCTACCCTCTCTATGGTAAACACACAGAAAGACACACATACACACACTTTTTCTTCCTTTGGCCCAATTCAGATTGGATTACTTTATCAGGGGGACATCTGTAATAAAAGTTTATCCAGTAATAAAACTTTTACATCTAGCAATAAACCTTTTGCAGGATGAGTGAGTTACTAGTGGGTTGTATTTTCTACTAACCTGGTTGTTTGGTGTCACGTGTTCATTATTTCTAGAAAACTAAAAGTTGATGATATTGTGAGTCTAAAGTAGTGCTTTATACCTGTAGCTGCCATTGTAATCTCCCTGGTAATCAGCCAATGGAGTCTCGCTTTTCTGATTGGCTTTATTTTCTTTCTCCACCTGCTAATGCTCTCCCAGTGTAAAGAGGATGGAGGATTGTTTTGTAATTTGAAAAGTGTTTAATATGGATAAGGAACAGAATATGCCAAGTAGCCATTATCAAAATCTTTTTTTCCAATGTGAGTTGACATCTGCTTGGAAAATCACAGAGATGAATCTGGACAGGACACAAATTATCAGGCCATAGCTGAGTTTAATGAACAGCAGTAGGTGATTTGACCTCTAATTTTCTCGAGACAGTAATAAAAAAAAGAGTAGTGCCTGTAAAACAGGAAATAACCCCAGAACCCTATGTTAATTTAATTCTGTCTGAATTAGGCTTTTGTTGGGGCATTTTCACTGACTTCTAAATGCTGTTATGCTACACCTCGGAAGTCTATAAGGAATGTTCATGTTTCCCATCATCTTGGTGACATCTGGTCTCCACAAAGAGCTAAATATATGGCTACTAAGGCATACACACTTGCTTAAAGTAATCCATAGTGTTGAATAACTACTTGCTTAGTGCTACTTGGTGGTAGTCCAATGTGGGATGCACACTGCCTGCACACAAGCATAACGTGTTGTGGCAGGTGCAACCGTGGCTGCAGAAGCACATAGTTTCTAGTGAGACAGCGTCTAGTCCTCATGTCCTGAGGGAAATCTCAAGCTGGTCTTTAAGATGTTTTTTCTGCCTGCCAACAGAGCAATGACCCCATCTCATTTGCCTATAGATGACTTTTTAGGGAATCCAATCATCAGGTATCCTGATGGTGTGGCCAAGCCTTCTGAACTAATGGCATGTGATAGTACCCTCCATGTTTCTAATGCTGGTCCACTTCAGGACCTCCAGGTGTGAGACACCATCATGCCAAGTCATTTTTAAAATGGACTGGAGGCATTTTATGTGACAGGACTTGAGTTGCTTGAAGTGTTGGCTGTGAAGTGTCTGTATCTCACACTCTTACCAAAGTCTTCACAATGCAGCCTATTTTGGTCGGTTTCTTTTGGGCATAACCTAAGGTGTTCTGCTACAATCATTTTGTAGTCTGTATCACACTTTGCTACTGGCATGGCTCAAATGATACAGACATTTTTCGTCAGACCACCTGACAATCATGTCAGTGAAGTGTCAGTGCTTTGACCAAGCTTCCAGTAGGTTTTATACTTGGGAAATGGTGTTAGTGACCATTTGTTTTTGAATACCAAACCCCATATTCAAGCCCCATGTTCAATCACTCTTCACCAAACCTCACAGTTGTCCCCTCTTGCACTACAGTCCCACAGTAGAAAGATTTGATCAGTTTTCTTTTTTATTTACATTTTTTATCCAATTTTCCCTTATAAGTAGTGGCCAGTTCCAGCTAGCTAGGTCTCCCCCAAAGACAATATGCTCCCTAGCTGGGTGGGTGAAGGGGCTAGCACATGCTTCCTCTTAAAGCAAGGTCATTCAACCTTGTGACCATCACAAGGGACTCCATTGCCAACAAACAAATTGACAAATTTGACCAATTGGATATGCTACACCCCATATCACATGCTTCACAGAAAGGAGATGAGCTCCAGTGGTAAAGGGTGGACCAGAGATGACTAGCATCTCCTTCTTGCAAGAGGCAGAGGTCCAGTCCATTGAGTACCTCATCAGATTTTTCCTCAGAGTGTGCTCCCCTAGCCTTTGTCCTCTTAGACGTTCCCTTAAGGCAGCAGTTGTTGATTAGCTGATGCCAGAGTGTATCTACCCTGTTGGCCAGCAAAAGGCTTGCAAGAAGAAGAATGCACTGCTTCTGGCTACTGTGCTACTCCCCTAGACACATCAAGACACTCTGCGAGGGCAAATACATAGCCACATACCTAAAATGTCTTTTTCTCATTGTCACTGACAGTATTATAATTGGTCTGTTTCTATGCAACATGTTGTAAAATACATGATGAAACATCATAATAGTTTTTGTACGTTTGTGGTATGTATGTAACAGGTAACAGGTTCGGTCATGAGCATGGTCGCGTGCTCATAGTGTGCGCGTGGGCGTATGCGCTGGTGTTCGCCTGCTCACCGCTGGCCCACTGGGGACAGTATGGGCCGGAGCCTTACGGGACAGCCTGCTGTATTGATTGGATCTCATCCAACAGAGACCCCATTGACCGCTCCTACACCACTGTACTCTTCATCTGTTGCTACCTACTACCCTGCACCATCATCATCCTCTCCTACACACACATCCTGCTCACAGTGCGGGAGTCCCGTCGAGCCGTGGAGCAGCACATTTCCCAGTCGCGCATGGGCAACATCCAGACCATCATAGTGAAGGTGGGAGACACACACACACACACACACACACACACACACTTACATGTATATATATGTGTATGTTGCACACACACACACACACACACACTTACATGTATATATATGTGTATGTTGCATGCAGAAGATGAAGTTAGGACATACATACACATGTTGCATGGGCAACATGAAGGAAGGATAAACAAACTTACACATCCACATACAAACACATACATGTTACACAATCAACATGATGACAGATGGTCAACATCCAAACCACCACAGTCATAAGTAAGACACTTAATTTTGTACAATATTGAAAAAATTACAGTATACTCTATCTAGATTTTGAATATGTATCAATGACATATTAGAAAATGTAAGCAACAAGCAACTAGAGGCCATGCATCTCTGTGATTGTAACGTAGATAAAGGATGTTCTTAAGTGTGACGCAGCGCGGAGACCCCTCTTAGCCATGGTGAAATCATTGTAATGTAAGGCCCTTTGTTATTTACATGCGGCCTCTAAATTATTTAAGTTATAATTAAAAATAATGACAATAAATAATTAATCTGCCAAGCAGTGTAGCTCATTTAGAGTGTGCTGTTGTTGCCAAGCAACTATTGAGTGCTAAAGGAGGATGAGAGCTTCAGTCACCTGTCACTGTATATTGCAGTCATTTCATGAATCTTGTACATTTTTGTCGTATATGTATCAGAAACCTTCGCCTTATAAGTATATTTTTGTCTTATCAGTGCAACTATACTAATTACCACTAGCTCCTCCATGCAGTTTTGTGTGTTGTGTTACCATCAAGCTCATTGCTCAGCAAATCACACATTAGGACCAGAACTAGCCGTTTTACAACTGTATTTTTTCTGTGGGAAGAAAGAGGCTTGCTCTCTCTTATTGCTTTTTTCAGTTCAGTTCAGTTCAGGTCAGCAGTACTTTTAGCATGAATGTTACATTATTGCCAAAGCAATTAAGAATAAACATAAATAGAAGACATCAACAGTTTAGTTTCCCTTTTTTTCTTCTCTCTATTCCTCTCTATCTGTTAATTAGGGCAGTTTAGTTTTAGCTGTGATGATCATTGCTACAGTAGCTTGACTGCACCGGCACAGTAAAGATCTGCTAAATGTCTCTCTCTCTCTTCTTTCTCTCTCTCTAGCTCAGCGTGGCAGTGTGTATAGGCTTCTTCACAGCATGGAGCCCGTACGCTTTTGTCTCCATATGGGCTGCATTCGGGGACGTAGAGGTCATCCCACCACTGGCCTTTGCCGTTCCTGCTATGTTCTCCAAATCTTCCACCATCTACAACCCCCTCATCTACCTTTTGCTCAAGCCCAACTTTCGCCACCTCCTCTGCAAGGAAATGCTCTCACTGCGGCAGGTGTGCGTACGGAGCTGTGTGGCCGTGTGTGTGCCGCGGGACAGCTGCCGCCCCACACTGGCCCTGGGGCTGCACACACTGAGACCACAGAGCCACTTAGCACCCATGGGGCTGGGCCATTGCCCCTGTGAGAGGTGCAATGACCCCTTCGAGCAGTTCAGGAACTACCCACGCCGCTGCCCCATCAACGTGAATACAGTGCAGTTCTCTGTACAGGACAGTGGAGAGCCTGAGGCACAACTAGAGCTGGATCCAGAAGCAGCAGGAGCAGAAATTAGGCTGGAGAGCTCCAAGAGGAGTTCAGCAGAGGCCATGAAGGAAGTGCAAGTGCTTGTTAGAGGCAAGAAAATCTCAGAGATTGACAGCCTGGAGATCACCTTGGAAACAATGCCTGCTCCTGATAAAGTAGCCAAAGCTTGGAAGTTCTGAAAATTGCTCTGATGAGGATATGAGCTTTTAACGAGTATGTGTGAGCGTTTATATGAAACATGGGAACATTGCCTCGAGGATTTTCTCACCCAACCTGGACGCTTATCTGGCTGCTTTTTTGTGAGGCAGTATTGCATGTTTTGAGTTTGGATTTTGACTGCAGAAGACGCATTTTTACACTAGTTGCAATGTTTTTTAGTAAGTGAAAGAATTCTTCAGGAATGTGCATGTGTGTGTGTGTGTATGTGTGTTCGAATTTGCATTCATCCCTGTTGGATCACTAAGCCAACAAAATGTTAAAAAGGATTTGTCATTTACCAAAGAGATGTTGCTTGCTAGTAGCTTTGCTCTGGGTAAGGTGAGGTCCATTTTGTTTTGTTTTGACTCCATTTTCTTCTCGATTCTCTTGTGGCCAATTTCTGCCACGAGCTAGATTTCTCACGATGTTATCTTATGATGCTACCAAGCTGAGAAGGTGAGGTCTAGCACATGCTTGCTCCAAGTTACATGAAGCCAGCATCTTTTCAAACTGCTGCTAAGGCGTCGTCACTGGACAACACGCTTGGAGGAGAATGCTAACTGCCAATTATTTTATGTCAGCTAACAGACACCTGTGTAGGCTAGCAACACGCTGAGCAATGAGTGGAGAGCTAGGATCATCTTATCCATCGAGGCAGAGCTTGCCACAGACGGCTGTGGCATGGACAAAGATTGAACTAAGGATATCGTGATGATAGGACCAGTGTGTAGATAGGAGCCATGATATTTTTAAGATGTTTTGTTATTGATAATGATATATCTCCAAAATGGTAACTTTACAGAAGACAAAAACGTTCTTTACTTCTAATGTAATTTAATGTAAAGAGAGCTTTAATTACAAGCAATTTTGGAATATATGTGTTGATCCATTCATCACGAACATTTCACACAATGTAACAGGCAGCTGCTGTCTTTAAATGATTTTGAAATGAAAATGGAAAAAACTAAGATATTTGTTTTTCTTTGGACAGCGACAATATGCAGCTATTTATTCTACGACATTTGCATTTATTTATTTATTTATTTATTTATTGTGATATTTGTTATGTAATAATTTGTCATTTTCTAATGATTTGGAATGTTTTAAGAAAAATTGATATATATATATATATGACCAAAGGTATGTGGACGCCCCTCCTAATTATTGAGTTTAGGTGTTTCAGCCACACTTGTTGCTAACAGGTTTATAAAATAAAGCACATAGCCACAAACATTTACAGTAGAATTGGTCGTACTCAAGAGCTGAGTGATAGCCTGTTCTCTGTTGCATCACTCACTACAGACAGCCTCTGGAAGAAACATGATTTATGAAATGAGTTACATGGCTGAGGAGCTGAGCACAAGCCTAAGATCACTCACAATGCTAAGCGTCAGCTGGAGTCATATAAAGCACATCACCACTGAACTCTGGTGCAGTGGAAACATGTTCTCTGGAGTAATAAATCACGCTTCACTATCTGGCAGTCTGAATAATGAATCTGGGTTTGGTGGGTGCCAGGAGAACGCTGCCTACCAGAACACAGTGTCAACAGTAAAGTTTGTTGGAGGAGGGTCTTGGGCTGGTTTTCAGGGTTTGCGCTCGGCTCCAGTGAAGGGTAATGTTAATGCTGAAGCATACAAAGACATTGTAGAAAATTATATGCCTCCAACTTTGTGGCAACAGTTTAGGAAAGGCCCTTTCCTGTTCCATAATGACTGTGTCCCTGGGCACAAAGTGAGGTCCATAAAGGTGGTGACATGTTTTGATGAGTTTGGTGTGGAGGAACTCCAGAGGCCTGCGCAGAGCCCTGACCTCAACCTCATTGAACACCTTTTAGGATGAACTGGAATGTCTTTTGCAAGCCAGCATGTTTTTCAACATCAGTGCCTGACCAACTCCATATTAATGCCCATGATTTTGGAACGGGATGTCCAACACGCTCACATAGGTGTGATGCTCAGGAGTCCACATACTTTTGGCCATATAATGATTGTATATCTTAAATGCTAAAAGAGTTTGTAAAGTTTCATGCACCAATGGGGTGGGGAGTGTAGTCTCCTAGTCCATTAATGTCTTTAACCAATCCAAACCACTTTAAACCCCTAAAAAAGCTGGTAATGATCTGAATGAGTGATTTCATGCAAAGAAGTAGCTTTCCAAAAGTCTGGGAGTGCATTAGAATAATGCCTGTCAGGTGATGCAGTTTATTTACTATTATATATGATATGATTATGTGAACAAAAAATGTTTCACAGTTCCACTGAATGGTGCTGTCTGTAGAAATAGTTAGTGTAAATAGTTTGTAGTTGGTATTATTTGTTCTTTTCTATGCACCCCACTGTTTGATGCACATGAACTGGTCTTTTCTATGGACCTGTGATACAGTACGAAGGCAAAACAATAGGCGTGTGACTAAAAAAAATAAAAATAAAGGAGTTACTATGTCTGTGCTTGGCCTGGCCATTCATTTATTTTTATGTCAGCTTTGTGTTTTAAAATAACACACACACACGTCTCAGTAACATCATACTGCCAACGTTTTTTCTAGAATTAATATTGAATAATAAATAGTAATTAATAATAAAAGAATAGTAGCAAGTGCTGTTTCAGTATACAACATAATTATACATATAAATTTATTTATATGTGTGTTCTTAGTTATACATCCAAATGTGTCACGTGCCATTTTATCTCTATATAACATAGTTATAACACAGCTATTTTTTAGTGCTTAGTAATGGGCTTCAATCAAGTAAGTACAGTGCCTCATCTACAGAGGTCAGGAGGAGCCATAACTTTGAAAGGCCATTATTTGGGGTTAACTGATCAAGATGGTGAGGAGCAGTGTGTTGACTGGGCATGTAAATTTCCAGGGTTCAGCCCAGTTCAATGTAAAATTGTGTTAAGATTTCATCTCTCCAGATTTTTCAAGTCAAGTCAAGTCAAGAGGCTTTACAAGTACGCAGTGGAGTGAAATCACGTTCCTCCAGGACCATGGTGCAACATGGAACAAAATAGTACAAAGTGCAAACATGCAGACGTAAGTGTGCAAAAAATTTAAACTAGAAACAATACAATACACACGATAAATAAAACAGACATTAGACACAGTAAACAGGAAAGTGCAGCGCAGACACAGCACTCATTTCTGGACATGAGGTAGTGGAATAAGGTGCAAAGATTATTTAACTGATGTGATCTGTGAGTTTACACAGTCAGCTCGCACTCTTCGGAAGTCAACAACCATCTCCTTTGTTTTGTCCACAAAAACAAAAGGTTTTGTAAATTAACCTGTGTGTAGTTGCTGCTTTTTATGTAATGTAAGCTTTTACACATCAGCATTCAGCACTATTGATTGGCATGTCTTCTACACAAAATCATTCAAAAATTAAAAGAGTGAAAACACTATTTGTGACAAAAACTGAAAAAATGTGTGAACAACAGATGTTTCCCCAACAATGACATTAAAGTTCTCTGCACATTTCCTCTCTGTCTCTAAACATCAACCTCTTTTTTCAAATCTCCTGCTAGCACAGAAACATTTTATCTGTAGTTTTTATATAATTTATAAGCTAAACAGTCATTCAGGGAAACTCTTTTTCCCCCAAACCAAGCAAGAAACACTATTTTCAGCAATACAGAATGCTTTGTTTTACCATGATCTCTAAATATAAAAGATCAAAAAAAAACGAAAACAAAGCATTCTGTCTTATTCACTCTGTGTCCTGATGAACACTGTTAGAGGTCTGCAGGGCTCTACAATGTTTTGTAGATTTTTCGGTCTTAAGTTTTTTTTTTTTTCTAGGGTACAACCCTATTACCAAAAAAGTTGAGATGCTGTGCAGAATGTAAATAAAAATAGAATGCAATGATATGCAAATCATGTAATCCATATTTTAAAGGAAAATACTACAAAAACAACATATCAAATGTTGAACCTGAGGAATTGTATTGTTTTTTGAAAAATATATGCCCATTTTGAATTTGATGCCAACAACACGTTCCAAAAAAGGGGGACAGGGGCGAGTGGTGTTTCATCACCTCTTCTTTTAACAACACTCTGTAAGAGTGCACAGACTGATGGACTACCTCCATCCTCTGCTGCATGGCCACCACATAACCTGGAGAAGGTTCATCAGGTAGTTTTGTTGTCAGGTGCCCGCCATACAAGAGGTCAAGAGAGGCTCTCAGCTCCCGCCTCATCATGAGAGCAGCTGGAGTGTGTCCAGTGGACAGAGTAGTCTGTCCTCGGGGCACATATCTGCCCATATAGGTAGGGGTGAAAGTGCTTGACTGCCTCCTTGCCTGGTAACAACTCCTGTTGTGTGACACAATAGTTCCTCTCTTAGCACTTTAATGTTCAGCTGAAGAGAACAACCACTCACTCCCTGTCTTTGTGCTGCTGACTAAGGATCACCCCGAGGCCCTGGTTGCTCACGTCAGTGTCCAGTGTAAAGGGTTTTTTCATATCCAGGATGGTGAGAACTGTGGTGTCACTGAAATGCTCCTTCAGCCTGTTGAAAGCCAGCTGGCAGGCAGCAGACCACTCAAAGGGCTGCAAATGAAATTTTGGCCCAGTTCTTCACAGCATCTTCTCATCCTCTGGTGGCCTTGCCTCCCTCTGCCACTCCAGGCCCCTCAAGACACTTCCCACCTGGTGCCCCACCAGATCCTTGCACTGCCACTAGGATCATTCTCTCATCATTGCTTCTTCCACCAATTCTGACACCATTGTAGCATTGGAGCACAGAAGACGCTTAGACAACTCAAAGTTTGTGAAGTTCGTGACCGAAGTTCGATGCTTTCTTTAGAATTGATTTAGCAGCCAGAATACAAGAAAGGAAAATTGCTCATATTTCCAGCAGAGGAAAATATGCTCTTTTATACCTCTAGCACAGCTGTGCTCTACAGAACCCTGCCTGGGGTAATGAATAAGGACACAAACCTGGGTGATGGTAACTCTGACTCACAAAATACACCC